CTTCACCATGGAATCCGAATTTAGGATTGATCTCTCAGAAAGGTTAGCATACCAAGTAAATGCAGAACTTTCAAGTGATTGGACAAATAGCTGCAGGCACAGGGCCTCATTTTGGGCTATTGGCCCGCACCTTGAAAGAAAATGAGCCACATGTTGTCTTGGATCTCCTGTTCCATCAAACATTTTGAAATCTGGTTGGGAAAAACCAGAAGGGAATGGAATAGCATCTACCCATGCTGGGTAAGGTTTTGTAATTATTCGAAAGTTCTCATTTTCTTTTTCTTTTGACTTTCTTTACTTGTCTCCTCACCATATCATCAATCATGGCCATGAGCATTGGATTCATACCACCACTGGTTAGATTAGAGTAACAAAGACCATTGCCCCCTGGGGCTAGTGTGCTTTGTATGCCTACAGATGTCCCCACAACAGGTTGTGTCATTTGTTTGGGTACACTTCCTGGTCCTGTCATTTGAGCCTGCAACTGTTGCATTTGCTCCAACATAGCAGCCATTTCCCGTTCTCTTCTCTCAAGTTGTTCTTGTAGGGCCACCATTTTTTCCTTGAGACTTTGGTCTTGTTGGACCTACGAATTTTCACCTTCTTTCTCAATCTTAGTCATCATAACTGCGACTTTGTTGATATCTCCCAATTCATTGTTTCCAATATTCGTTGAAACAAACGAGATAGAATCATTTTGTTCGTACAAAGGATTATCAACCCCTACAACATTACTCATATTTGAAGCATTTGACTGCGATGCTTTGTTTTGAGCCTCACGGGTTATGGACCTTGTTACGGGCCCTTTTCTTATTCCCTCCATAGACAGTTCAATCAAAGTAGAAATATTTCCCAAGGGTTGCTTACCCTCCTCCACCTCTGACTTTCCAACAAAGACAGGACTTTCAATTTATTTTTGGCATTCATCTTTCGAGAGAGCCCTTTCAATAGCTCCTATAACATTTGTTGCCACTGTTCTTAGTTCCAGTTTCTTTAAGGCCTTATTTCTTCTTTGCCTTTGTTTTTTCGAAACGGGACCATGTGATGACATATCAAGTGAAGCCCCTAGGGGCATAGAAGGAACCATTTGCGTTTTTGCAAATTCCTTATGAATTTTCAAAACAGTTCCTACATTTTTAGACCCACAACATTACTCATATTTGAAGCATCTGACTGCGATGCTTTGTTTTGAGCCTGACGGGTTATGGACCTTGTTACAGGCCCTTTTCTTATTCCCTCCATAGATAGTTCAACCAAAGTAGAAATATTTCCCAAGGGTTGCTTACCCTCCTCCACCTTGGATTTTCCAACAAAGACAGGACTTTCAATTTGTTTTTGGGGTTCATCTTTCGAGAGAGCCCTTTCAATAGCTCCTATAACATTTGTTGCCACTGTTCTTAGTTCCAGTTTCTTTAAGGCCTTATTTCTTCTTTGCCTTTGTCTTTTCGAAACGGGACCATGTGATGACATATCAAGTCAAGCCCCTAGGGGCATAGAAGGAACCATTTGCGTTTTTGCAAATTCCTTATGAATTTTCAAAACAGTTCCTACATTTTTAGAGCAGACCAATTGATGTTGATTCAAATCCCGTTGGGCCAACAGGTGTTCCTTATTCGAACCTTGTCGGGCCAACGGGTGTTTCTTATTCTGTCGGGCCAACGGGTGTTCCTTATTCGAACCCTGTCGAGCCAACAAGTGTTCCTTTGGCTCCTGAGAGTTGATTGAGATTTGTTTTGGCCGATTTTGTGCTCTGAACAGAACTGTCGATTCGTAGGCCACAACTATTTTTTCAACAACAGGAACCTTTTTTCCATCAACAGGAGTTTGGGTCATTACCCTCCTCCCAATGGCCCTAATGATGGCCATGTTTTCAGTAAAGGCTTTCTTCTGGACAGACTCCACCATTTTAATGGAGTCTTCTACCTTTTTGAGTAGTTGGGCCACAACATTTTTTGTTGCCCCCGTTGAAGCTGCAACAAAAGTCGTAGTTGCAAACTGATTAGCCTCCTTTGCCTGAATTAGAAAGCTCTTCGTTCGGGCTGTGGCCCTCACGGTTGCGTACTGCTTCGACACTTTCACATAGTCTTCAGTAATCTTTCTCAAACTTTCAGTTTTTTGGAGAAGTGTGACTTTCTTCGTCACACCAATTACTTCCGGGACAGCCAAGAGCTTTCGCTCTGGAGCCCCTTGGGTGATAGGGGAAAGAAGTGCATCTTTCCAGGATTTCGCCGATTCTACCTTTGGGACAGCCAAGAGCATTCGCTCCGGAGCCCCTTGGGTGATGGGTGCTATCTCCACCCTTGGTGATTTCAGAACCACTGGAGTGTAGGTTTGTCTCTTGACAGTTGCTTCAGCATTCCTATAACAAAAGAATACATCAATAAGTTTCAACTATATATATATATATATATATTTATTCTTCAAAAGATGGGAGGAGAAATGTCTCACTGGGCGTGCCAGAATTTGTAGACACAAATTTTGAATCATGAAGTGTTTCAATACATTTTAAAATTTTATATTACAAATGTCCACTGCTTAGTTTTTGGACTAAACAGTGTTGATTATTTGATTAGCAGGTTCCTATTTCCGATCTGTATTCTAGATCGTTAATTACACATTTTATATAAATGAAACCTCCGATTAATGAAGAACAAAATAAATAACAAAAGACAATTTAAGAAAAATAAATATTTTATTAAAATTGTTATGGGTTTTGAATCCTCGAATACAAAATACAATTTTTGGGTTTGGAACCTTTTACCTATTCATCACCATTAGCGTAGGCTCTTGAGTTCTCTAGGCTTCTCTTCTTCTTTCTTGTAACGACTTCCTTAGCTCTCAATTTATTTCTCTCTCTCTCTGATCTTTTCACTTCTGATTTTCTGATCCCTCGTCTTGTGTGATGGTCCTCATATTTATAGAGGGCCATCAGGTGATAGGAATGCCTCATCTTCAATTTGAATTTCAAATTGAATGATAGCGCTATTTGAATTTTGAATAATAGCGCTATCTGATTAACCGGATTGATCTTTGGGGTTTCATCCTGTGTGGTGTCCTTGCTGTAGGCTCTACAGGTGCCATCTTTCGTAAGCTCCACGTGTCACTTGAGCATTTTGAATGACGTCTTGAGATACGACGTTGTTTTATTTATGCACCTCAATGGATCATATTGATCTTTTTAGGAAGTGATTACCTATAACATTCCTATTATAGGCTCTATACGTGTCATTGACTGATTGACCGTATTTGAAATTTTAACATAAATTTGTTGAAATTTATGTGCCAACAGGCACATTTTGGTGAACTGGTGTTGTTTGTGTTGTGCTGATGTGGAGTCGATGGATCATTTGCTTATTCACTGTCCGGTTGTTTTCGGCTCTGGATGCTCATTGTTGCGACGTTTGGCTTGGATTGGGTGCGTTTGCACTTTCGTAAAGCTAGGTAGGGGGTCGAGTTGGGAGGAGGCGTTGAAAGGCATGGATGCTTGCTCCCCACTGTTTTCTGTGGTTGATTTGGTTGGAACGTAATAGGCGAGTTTTTCAGGGTGTGGTTCATTCGTTTTCTTGGCTTCAAAGACATCTTATGGTTCTGTATAGTTGTTTTATTAGTCTAGTTGATCCGGATGTTTTGGCCTTAGTAGATTTTGTTGAGGATTTGATATCTTAGTCTTTGGGCCTTTTAGGGGCGTCTTTCATTGTATTCTTTGCATCACCTTGATGCTTTTTTAATAAAATTTGTTTATTTATAAAAATAAAATAAAATAATATAGCGTGAAAAAAGGAGAGATCAGTTGCAGTACAAATTTGGAATAGGAAGGTAATTTAAAAATAAAGAATTTGAAGCACAAACCAAACTAGAAGGGAAATATAAAAGGAGATCTAGCTTGCAATTATTAATTTGTATAACTCTTTGACATGTAACTTACTTTCTTTGTATGCGTTTTTGTAAAAGGGCAACTTCAGCTCGTTTTGGTCTGAGGGAAATCTACATTGGGCAAAAGTTTGCAGACACTCACATTATTATCATGACATATTTCATTGGGTGAGATTCATGTGTCTATTCGGTGGTTAATATTCTAGTACCAGACTCCACATTTCTCTAGCACTAAAATTTATAACCCGCTGGCATGCATGCAATGTGGCTTCTCTTGCTATATCTCATTCATCTCTTATTACCCCTGATATTTTCTAGACTGAGTTTTGCTTGTCTATTGAAATTTAAGAGTAAAAGGGAAAAAAAATAAAAAACATGAAACAAGAATGAAAAATTAAATGTCTTGAAGTACCTCGATCCATGGGAGAATAATATGAGTGACTGAGATCTCTTTTACTTATTTTTATCTTAAAGGTTTTGATTCGATAGTTGTCTCCTGGAGATGTGGAATCAAGTGAAGTGTTGGAGTTATCAGAGTTGATGGATTCAAGACAGTAGAAATTGAATATCGGAGGAAATTCTCAAGCACTCAGAGAACAACGTAAGAAGTAAACTCAATTTATCCTGTTCTTGTATGCCAGACCTAGGTCAAACCAAAAAGTGAGGCGACCAACCTCCTAATAGTAGGCTGAAACGCAAAGGCCTCATGGTTCAGGCTGTTTGTGGCAGTGGGTATCTGTCATATATTATGGCATATTCATTTAGTGTCCCACACAGCTTTTTATGACATGTGGATTCAGTGCATGAAACATGAAGGATTGTTTTTTTAAATTATTATTATTATTTTCTAAGTACATGAAATGTTAAGATTGAATAGGCCCCTTGATTGGCCATGCCCAAGGAAAACTTACAATCATAAAGCTTTTTTTGAAATTAACATTGAACAGAAGGAATGACTTTTACATCTGCCTTTGAACAATAGGTGAATTTAAATCATCACCCGTAACTGCATGTGCATAGATCAAGACACTTTGAGATTTGCAGGGATAGAAATACGAGAAAAGAGAAAGTAAGAGATACACAACAGACATAGTATGACTTGACACAGTGAAAATGAGATTATACAGTTATCTTGTTAATGATATGTTATTTGTGGATGACAGTACATTACTTTCATAAGTTTGTTCACTTTTCAAAAGCTACCTCCTTGAGAGGTCCAAATCCTTCCTCACATTTCACTGTTAGATCTGCATGGGCAAATGCACAACTCCCTCCCACCAACTCTTTAGCCTTTATTGACTCTCTGTTCCAATCCATCTTGTATATCACTGTGAAGATTGAGATTACACATGCCACCTGAGCTGCTAAAAGCCCATAACAAAGGCCGGGAAACTCAAGTCTCCCAAAAAATGCCAAAACGATAGCCACTGGTGTACCCACCATGTAGAAGGAGTAGAAGTTTATACCTACACCAACGCTGGGCCTAGCACTTCCACGTAAAACACCACAACATGTGGTTTGTGGACAGTTCGCAAGCTCGCATAGCCCAATTATGGGTAGCACTGCCATTGTTAACTCTAGAACCTCATTATCCATTGTGAAAACTCTCCCCCATGCTTGTCTGCCCAAGGTGGTCAATAACAAGCCAAAACTAGAGGTTAAAAGGGCCAATCCTATGGCTACCACTGTTGCCAAACTGGCCTGACTTGGCCTGCCTGCTCCAAGCTCATTGCCTACTCTGGTTGACACTGATGCACTAAGTGCTGAAGGCAATGTATACATGAGAGAGGTGGTTTGGATTACTATTGCTGATGTTGCGAGGGCAACGTGAGGTTTGTTAAGATAACCAGCTAAAAGTGTCATGAACTCGTACCACCACCACTCCAAACAAACAGCTAGACAACTTGGTATAGCAAGTCGAAGAAGCATTCCCCACTCCTCCCCTGGCGAAGATGAAGAAAGTGGTATCATTTTTGTTACTAATGGTTGACACATAGGCTCCTTTGGCGTGCGAGTGTAAATTTTGTAGCCTAGAAGGAAGAACAATGTATTCATGTTGGTGACAAAGGTTGAAATTGCAATCCCGGGGATCCCAAGACCAAGAGTGAAGGTAAAGAAAATCGTGATGGGAAGGTGGAGAAGTATTGCGAATGAAGTGCACCACATCAGTGGCCATGTTGTCCCTTTACTACGTAAGTAGATACGTAGTGGGTGAAGAAGGCTATTAGCAATGAGATCCGGTATAGCATAGCGACAGTACAGGCTTGCAATATGTGTTATATCTGGGTTTTGATGGAGCCTAAGCATGAAAGGCTCTAGGTTAAACCATAACAATCCAATTGGTATTGAGGCTAATAGTAACATTACAATTGTTCTTTGAAGAGTGAGTGACACTAAAGTTAAGTTTCTAGAACCAAAAGCCTGGCTGCAAAGGGGCTCCATCCCCATGGCTAGACCTGATAGAACTGAGTATCCAGTGATATTGGTGAATCCAATGGCTAGTGCACCACCAGCTAGCTCAAGGCTCCCTAGCCTTCCCATGCACACAACTAAAATCATGTTTTTGAGATAGCCCACCAGGCCCATGGCCAATATAGGGAAGCCTATGTCAGTCATTCTCTTCAACTCATCCACAACCTGGAAAAATCATGGTACAAAAAAGGGTTATCACAATGTAATATTACACATTTAAATGGAAAGAAGATTCTTGAAGTTTTTAAAATTTTGTAGTCAGTACCTCTGGCATTGTCGGGTACTTTTGGGTTTGCTCTGCAGCCATCTGTTTTTTTTTTTCTTTTTCTTTCTTTTTTGCTGATTCTTCTTTTTCTTGTCTGCTTGTGTTATTAGAGCCAGAGAGTTAATGGTAGGGATATTCTCTTGCTTACACATGGACAGAGTAGAGTGTCATTTTGAGAGAGAGGGAGAGATAAGAGTTGCCAGTGTCAGAAAAGAATGAGTAGAGCTTTATAATGGTGGGAGGTGGTGGGGTTGGAAATTTCTGTTGTTAAAAGTTTTCAAACAGAAGGCAGAGTGCTGTAATTTTTTTTAATAAAAAGTTAACCTTTTGAGGTCAGGGGTCCCCGTACTGTGCTAACTATATTTTGTCAATTGTCCAAATAAATGAGAACATATCCACTTCCTTTTTGAAAAGAATCATGCTCAATGTTAAAATACCTAAACCTATATTCAAATGAAGAAATTTGGGTGGCAATAGATTGCTATTGTTGTCATTATTAATATTAGGGTAAATTACAAATACACCCCTTGAGGTTTTATTAAAATATGAATCGCCCCCTGTGATTTTGAAAATTACATTCCACCCCTTGAGGTTTCTAATTTCATAACAAATTACCCCTTTTATTAATAAATCATTAAGTCAATTAACAGTTTTTAATGATATTAAAAATATGTTTCAATTAATAATTTAGGTAATTTTATTATTGTAAGGGAGAACAATTATGAATTTTATTTTTTCAGTTAATTCTATTAAATAAAAAATTCTAGTAAGGAGGTATTTATAATTTTTCAAACCACAAGGGCTAATCTGTATTTTAAACAAATCTTGGGAGGTGTATTTGTAATTTACCCTTAATATTATTATTCTCATAACTGCTACTACTTTGAGGTGTGATTTTATTGCCTTACTGGTGGTGACTGGTCACTAGTTCCATATTGTGCTCTTGGCCTCTCCCTTGATATTCAGTATGTGATGTTTCGTTGCCTTGGAAAAAAACAAGCTTTGTTATTTCACCTATGAAGGGTAAATATATATAAAGGGTCAGATTTAAGGTTACAGGTGTTCATTTTCAAACCAAGGAAATCAAGGAAAATGTTAATCTTGCAACATTCTCCCTTGTTCAGACTTTTTTTTTCATTGATTTTTTCCTATTTCATCTTCAAAAGTCATATCCCCGGGCGGGGGGTTAAAGATTTCAATTTGTGCTAAAATTAGGGATTTTGACTTCTTGTGAATTGTGTTAAAATTAAGTGATTTTAGTTGTGTATATATGGGGAAAAAAAATGATGGCATTAATAATGATACTACTATGGAAAGTTTTCGAAAGATGAAAATTTGTAAAAGAACTTAAGCATAGCTCAAGTGGTTATACCTCTAAGTTTCTAGAGGGAGGTTTTGGGGTTCAAGCTTTAAGAGAAGCATTGAATGTTTAGTAGTACTAACTTCCTAATCTGCTAATATTTTAAAACTTTTGTGATGAATATTTAGATTTTTATGCTTAATATTAGCTCAAAAAATTAGTATTATCTTATTGTTGTTGATTTTGGATAGAAAACTTTTGCGAGTGTAATATATAGTGACCCGCTGAATTAATTTCTTGGCTCCACCATTGATTGATGTGATGTTATTTGATGCACCTTTTGGTTGTAGGGTCTTCAATATAATGAGTGGAGGTTTGGCAAAAACTGCCGTACCTTTCCTTAAGCTTAAATCATTAATTTAGAACCATATAAAAATCACTATTTTTTGCTGATATATGTGATTTTTATAAAGTCATTGAATTATTTGCATGCTAGGCAAAACACTTCTGTCACATTTTTTTGTTAGATTCCTTCAACGGGACATAAAGTCCATGACCCAATCCCTCCCTTACCCCACATTTCCAATACCAGCACAGAGCTTTTCCATGACAGATAATACAACTGACTTTCTCTCGATATCAGATATTTTTTTCTTTTTCTTTTTTATGAGCCTGGTTTCAATCAAGAACAATCACACATTCTCTCAGTTTTGGTTTATTTTTATTGGAATATAATATAATCATGGTAATAGTTGATGTTCTGCTTTGCTTGAAGTTGATAACATGAGATGGGGATTTCATTTGTTAGTTATTTTTGGACATCAAATTGCAAGTTTCTACTGCTCATAATGTCTTTAGTTGGTGGTATATGCACATTGATGTGTTTGTGTTACATCCTTGCATGTGTTAGGAATCCGAAACTCATATCTAGGATTGGTGAGACACGAAAAATAGAGATTAGCAAAAATACAAGAATTGTAAAACACGCCCACACGCAAGAATTTTGTTGTTCATTTCAAAGCTAGGGTTATGTCCACGGTCAATGCAGTTTCACTATGATCAGTAAAGGTTACAAGAGAGATACAAAGATCTCAACTACATAGACATAGAATTAGGGAACAAGTTACAAGTGCATAAATACTAAAAATACCTTTAGTTTAAATTCATGATTGAGTGGTCAGTGTCCAATACTTATTAGGATCTACACTACCCCAACAATATGGACATTACAATACTTGTGTGTGTAATATACATATTTAAATGTATGCTTGCTAGCAATTACTTAGCATACATTTGACTATGCATGCTTATGTTTATGGGATTTTCTTGTCAACATCACAAGAGTTTTACTAGTTTATGTCAATTTATATTTTCAAATAACATTACAATAGCTCAACTATATTTGGGTGTAATATGTGACATATCTATCATTAGTGACATCTTAACATATATTTATTGAATTTTTCCCCTTAATTTTTTGAAATGACTGTAAACGTGTCGTCTGTATGCCTTGAACTGCTTCGAATATAATATCTGAGTATTTTTTGTGTCATGTTAATAGATAGTTAACATGAGACAGTTGGACTGAATTCTAGGACTAAAGTAGCACCAAGTCAAAAGATTGGCATCATTTTGAAGCCATTGTTATTTTTCAAGAACTTTATTTTTGTTTATCTTCTCTCCAAATAGGAACTCTGACCCTCTTCAAAGACATATCACCCCCTTTCCTACTTTCTTTTCATGAAACAATGTTCTATTGATATATATGTATATATATCTTTCCTCCGTAATTTCTCAATTCCTTCTTCGATTCGCCAAAAAACTTCCAGTTTCTTTATTTGAGAAGCCTTGAGTCCCCTCTTTCAATAATCTGCTTCATAGTTTCCCATTCATAATCAATCACTTGCAATGAAAATAACCAACCTGTCACACTTCCATGAAACCATGCATGTGGCATTTGGTTACACCAAATGACCAACAAATCAATCCTTATCAACAATAATTATCCCCACACTCCTCATAATCTTGTACACAAATTGCACTTCAATTAACTTTTTTTTTTCTTCTTTCCCAACAATGTCAAATGTTATCATTCCTTCCCCACCCAATAGCCCTTTCAACAACCACCATGGGTATGGTTGTTAAAGAGGAAAAGGTAACCCATCTCCAAGGGTCACATCTCTCATTGTGTTGATGAGGTTTGTCCCAAAGTCTCAAAGCATTGTTTCTAAGCATTGGAAAAACCGACATATTTCTCACCTCCCCACTGTAATATATGGGTAAATTATTCTGCAGTCTGGGATCACCATGCCATTTTGATCCCGATCATTCATGGGGCTGCTTATAGCTTTTTTTAAAAAAAATTAATGTAGATGCAACTTTCACTTGCAGCTTATGAGACACAAATAATTTAAACTTCTGCTTTATGATTATTATTAGTTTTTAGCTTGCAACAAGCTTCACTAAACATGCTTAATGCTACGTACTTAAAAAAATTACCTCGAAAAGTATTTAGAAAATTACATCAATGGATCACATTTATTTTAGGTGTGGTTCACATCACACTAACTTTAAATCTACACAGAATACCTCACTTTTGGATTAATTTTCATAGCACAAATTTTGTGTACATAGGTAGCCAATTATGAGTGGTTGGAATAAAAAATGATGTGATAGTCTAGGACTATAAAATAATAAAAATAATTTATAAACAAAACATTTATGCATAAAACTCAACTAAAATGATGTGGTGATGTGCTAGTCATGTTTTTATTTATTTATTTATTTTTAAAATTATAAGACACTAATGGGTATTTTAGTTTGAGATGAAACGATCACAAAAATCACTTCATATGTGTGAATTTTGTAAAAAAATTATGTGTATATATCATTACTCTAAAATAATTTATTGAGAAAGTCTGGGATTTGAAAAACCTATATGTAGGGGTGAGGAGGTTATCATTCACTAACCACCAATTACAGTACAGATCTCATTATCTTAGTCTAAAAAGCTTGGGCAATTGAACCACAAATTGGACCAAGGTTGGCATAAGATGCTTGTTCTATGCCCCACATATATGTTGGTTGGTTGGTTGTTTAGTGTCTTTTGTTGACAAGTAAAAGATGGTTTAAGCTTAAAAAATATCAAAAATTATATATATATATAAAAAAGAACTACTCTAGAAGCTTAGTTTTTTTTTAATCAATGAACACCAATTATAGTCAAAAACCAAACTCAATAAAGAGATTTTGTGGATCTCTAAGCATGAGTTTTGAAAATTTCTTACTAGATGTAGCACTTATTTTTCCTTTGTTCTACTTAGTCAACAAGCTTTCATTTATTTTAAGCCTTTACTATGATTGTAGTACCTCCATAATTGGAGTTGTTAGTGGACAGAATCGCCTTCTATTTGATCATCCACATTGCTTAGTCTCTTTGCCTCATCAAGTGCCACAGTAGCATATCCGAGTTAGTAAGTGAGTGGGTATATTTTCTATGTTATTCATGGCGGTTCGAATTCCCTTTTCATTGTCATGTTTACTAAGTTAAGGAGTGACTATTGAATCTTGAGTTTACCTTCCTAGGATGGGTCTAAAAGACTTTGTTTAGGATGAATTCTCGTTCATACAAAAGAAAAGACAAGGAAAATGTTATTGTAGGCATGTTCATTGAGTCTAAACAAAAATATCAAAATTTGACCGTTTAACTTTATTTACCATATAATATAATATATTCACAAGGGTTGAATATTTGAGCAGATTATGTACGGTCTGTTATAATAATGAGTGTGCATGTGTCATATTAAATGATCAATAAAATCGTACAAAAAATAATAAATGTAATAATAATAATAATAATTTTTTCACGCATGATGCGTGCTTTGCGCATACATGGATCTGTGAAAAAAAAATTTAAAAATTAAGAAAGTAGATCACTCTTTTGCAACTTTTAAGATAGTAATCTAGATCTACTGTGTTTGACCTTTGATGGCTGATTATTCACATGGTTAAACTCAAGTGTTTTTGCTATTATTTTGTGTAAGTTCTTCATTAAAAAAAAAAAAAAAAAAAATTTTGCCAATTCTAAAAACATGAAAGAAAATTTTAGTGACTAAGAGCAACGAGCTGTCCTTATCAAAATTTGACTAGAACTTAACCCAAAAAAAAAAAAAAAAAAAAGAAAAAAGAAAAAAGAAAAAGAAAAAAACTCCTTAATGCCAAATGAGTTG